ACTCTTTTCAAAATCATGCATTTTGAAGGCAGCTGGGATCGAGGGAATTGAATGTTCACATTTTGAAGGAAAGAAACTACTGATGCATCTATAAATACTGAGGACTAATAACGGAAGGAAAAGGGACAAGTTATTGACTGAGGTTAAAAGTATAGCAGAGGATAATGGGCCTCATCAGAATGAGGGAAATTTTTCAGCTCCAAGGATCCAACTTTCTAACAATGGGGCCTGTGGAGAGGTTTGTAGATAGGGGCCTCTTTCTGGGTGTTGAGAGCCGAGCAGATGAAAAACGAAAGGGTTTAGTGCAGTGAACAAGACTGCCTTCACCAGGCGTTTTATGTGGCCCTAGTGGGTTGTGTTTTTCAGCCCTAAAATCTGTTCTGTTTTTCTTTGTAGATTTTGTGTTGACTCGTTTTGATTCCTCCATTTCTTTCCTCCTCTGGCCCTCCTCTGCCTGTGGTTGTCTCTTTTTAAAATTTTATCTTGTGAGTCCAGTTTGTTTTCCTTTTTGTGCTGATCCTCTTGGTCAATTGAATGCATTTCCATGTTATTTATTCTGATGTTTTTCCTTGCAACTCTCTCTTGCTGGCTTAGATGCTTGGCTATTTGAGCATAATAACTATCCTTTAAAAAAGACCTTTATTTTACTCCTTTTCCACCACAAGTTACTTGTTGCTGTTCATTGGAAAATTCATGACCAGGAACATTTGGTCAGCCACATTGTCTAGTACAACATAAAGGATGGTTTATTATATGTGAGTACATTTATTCTAGGACTGTGCACCAGCCTTTACATACAACATCAAAAACCAAGCTACCCTCACCTTAGCCTCTTTATTCCAATGCTACTGCCAAAGATCAAAGCATTTCTGGACTCCTCTTTTGGAATTACCTGTAGAACTTATTCATAAGTCACACCAGAAAATTCATATCACTGCTTGATAATCATACTTTTTATTTAGCTAAGATTATATCATCATTTTCATCCATCTTATTTAATTAAATCCACTTCAGTTGAGCACAGTGGCTCTCACCTGTAATCCCAGCAACTAGGGAAGCCAAAGTGGGAGGATCACTTGAGACAAAGAGTTTGAGACTAGCATGGGCAACATAGCTAGACCATGTCTCTAAAAAAATTTTAAAAATTAGCCAGACATGGTGGTTCCTACCTGTAATCCCTGCTACTTGGGAGGATGACTTGAGCCCAGGAGTTTGAGGCTGCAGTGAGCTATGATTGTGCCATTGCATTCCAGCCTGGGCAACAGAGCTAGACCCTAATCCTAACAATAGTCTGCTTCATACAGCTTCAAATACAGAATGATAGTCAAAATATTCAATAACAAAGGCCAATCAGAAAAGATGCTGGTTGTGACCAACAGGTATATCTGTAGCAATATATATCCTCTGCATATCAATTTTTGCTTTATGCTATTCTAAAACATTTAAAAAAATAAAATGCCCCACTTATGATAAACTTTAATATTTTTTAACTTTCCAGTGTCCAACCCTAGCTGCTATATTGAGGAAATTCCCCACTGTGTGTGGTTTTCATGATATAAAGGGCAGTGCCCAGCCTTTCACTACTGATGTAAAAAGTCATCAGAAGAATTTTTCCTTTCCCCATTCTCTGACTTCCAAAAATGTGTCAGAGTCTTGGCCAATCGGATACAAGGCAAGGGGATTGTAGTGTCCATTCAAGTTGGAGGCAGCATCAGTGACCTGGGACAGGGGCAGTGGCATCACATGGTGGTGGTGGGAGTATCTTAAATAGACCATTGCTGCTAAAAGATAATTGTGCTTCTTGCTTCTCAGCCCTTATAAGATAGTTTCTGTCCCTTTTCCTAGCCTGATCAACCAGGCACATTTCAATTCTCTGAATTCCCAATTCTCTCTCAATAAAATTTCCCTTTTTATTTAAGAGAGTCAAAGATTATTTCTATAAGTTGTAGCTGAAGACATCTATTTAGGATCTCGATTGGATCTCAAAAAACGATGGCTTTGCAGATTTGAGAGCAAGTAGAAGGTGTTTTATGAATGACAGAACACTTTTGACGAAACACGTTGGCAGGGGGCTGGTAACTGGCTCAAGCAGCACAGTTTGCATTTTGACTAAACTAGTCAGTGTTCACAGGTAGACGAGATTTTAGTTTAGCGCTTTATGTGAGCATGTGTCTCTGTGTTTCATTTTGACCCAAGCTCATATGGGAGGTGCCTGGGGGTGAGCCATAACTTTACCGATCCTTCGGGGACAAGAAGGGGGTCTTTACCCCCCCAAGGGGGGACTACATTTTGACTTTAGTATACTTTTTTCTTTTGTTGTGGAATCTACATGTATTTTAGAAAAGTCATTCAAATATGTCCTCTCTCCTGTCGCCAGACCTAAAGGGCTAATACAGAATTATAAAGAACTCAACCATCGCAAGAGAAAAAATAAACGAACCCAAAATGACAAGTGGGCACGATATGACAGAAGCTTTCTTCAAGGATAGCAACATGGGCTATAACATCTGGACACAAGCCTGGCTCAATATCCAGTACTCAATCAGGAATGCAAATAACCACAATGATGAGATATCACTTACCCCAGTTAAATGGCTTTATTAAAATGTCCAACGACATGGACATTGGCATGGTGCAGGAGAGAAAGACCTTATACGCTGTTGGGGACTGCAACTTGAGTACAACTTCATGGAAACAGTATGGAGATTTCCTCAAGAACTAAAAGTAGACTAAACCTAGTTGATTCTATTCCCAGTCTTGAGGGGTGGGAGACTCATTTTCTTGAGTTTACTTCCAGAGTCCCCATTAGATTCTACTCATTAGAGACAGGAGAAATCCCCTCCTTCCTGCTCGCGGAGGAGAAACAACCATTTTGAAGTGCTCAGGCTCGTCTACTCTCCTAAGTAACTGTCTGCCCTTGAAAACTGTTTTACTGAGCTAAGCAGTAGGGAGGAGAAGAAAATACCAAGTTTCCACCCTCTAGTTTGATTTGGAGAAGGGAATAGTTCAACTCAGGCTCACTAAAGACTGAATTAATCATAGGATTGATAGAGCAGTTTCCACCACACAACAAACACCAATCATCAAGTTCCTGTATAACCTAACAGGGAGCTGACGTAGAAAACTCACAATTGTCAGACTTTATTTAAGAGGCCAAGTCTCTAGTGAGAATCTAGACACGGGAGCAAAACGGACATCGAGGCATTTTAGCTCCTGCATGACAAGTTGTGCCAATACGTAACACTAGCTTATCCCCTACCACGAAAACAACTGACCTTAGTACTAAAAAAAAGCCACAAATTATTACCTCCAAGTCTTCTTAATATATGTACATCAGTAAGAAAAACACAAACTCTAGAGAAGCTTTACGTGAAAGGATATAAAGCGTAAAACATAGACTTACAAACAGGAAACACAAACGAAATACAACAAAAAGAGGCAGCAATACTCAGAACGATTAAATTAGATTGGACAGGATTCTATGGAATTGAATCAAGCATCTAAACGGAAACTTTATAAAATACAAACTACAGAGACATTAAAAACAAAAAATAATGCAAATCACGAGAATAATAGAAAATAGGCAAAAATAGAATAAACGACAAATGCAAAGAAAGTAATGAGGTCAAAACTGTAAGCAAAAGATACGTAAAACACAGACCACACAAAATATAAATAGAAAAATGCACAATACTCTAAAAATAAAAACAGAATGACCGGAAGACTGCCATTGATGGGCTCATCCGATAGCAACTCAAAAGACTGCAAGGGGATTAGCAAGCTTTGGAGAATTTGTAAAAATCAGAGTCTTCTCATTGAAGAGGAAAGAGAAAAAGGACTGAAAAAGATGGAACAGAATCCAAGATGTCGGGAATCTACAAGGTGCAAAAAGTGTGTATGGGAATACTAGAAGGAACGCGAGAGTACAGAATTACATGATGTGAGTATATATGCTGAAATTCTAGCAAAATTAATGCAGGACACAAAACCCAGATTCAGCGGGCTCAGAGAACAGCAGCCCCCCGATCACAGTACTAAAATTTACCCAGGCATCAATCCATTGTTTTGCATGTGAGGCCACAGTCATATTCCAAAGTGGCAGAGAAATCTAAGTCGAAGGAAAATCCTGGAAGGGGCGCCGAGGAAGAAGAAACTTACCCACAGAGGAGCAACATAACATTATATCAAACTTCTCATCAGAAATAATTTAACTGAGAAGACAGTGAAATGAAATATTTAAAGGGCTGAATGAAAAAACCACCAGCCTAGAATTCTATAGGCAGGGAAATCATCCTTTGAGAGTGAAGAAGAAATAGACTTTATCAAACAAATAGAAATTTAGGGGATTTGTCCTGGTAGACTTGCCTTGTAAGAAATGTTGAAATAATTCTTCAGAGACAAAGAAAATAATATAGGTCAGACACTCCAATCTACATAAAAAAGAAGGTAAATCAAGTATTTTATTTTTCTTATTCTTAATTGATCTAACAGATAATAGTTTGTTCAAATAATAACAACAATGATGTATTCAGTTATTATAGTTTATGGATAAGTGAAATGAATGACAGCAATGTTATAAGGAATGGAAGGGAAGAATTGGAATTCTCTGTTGCAGGTTACTTGGACTAACTGTAAAGCAGTATAGTATTATTTTAAAGTGGACTTGGGTTAAGTGTAAATATATATTGCAAACTCTAGGGCAAACTCTAAAAAATTAAACAAAGAAGGATAATCAATATGTTTAGACAGGACAGAAAATGGGATCATATAAAATGTTCAATCAAAACTAGAGAAAGCAGAAAAAGAGTAGAAGACAAAAAAGAAACAAAGAACAAGGGCAATGAGTAGAAAACAGCTACAAATGTAAATACTAATCCAACTATGTTAATAATCACTTTAAATGTGAGTTGTCTTAGTACACCAAAAAGCATATAAGTAAATGTTACTAATGTATCAGTAATAAAATGTCAAGCTCCTCCCTATTCTTTTTCTCTGTAAAGGCTCTGATGATTATACAATGCTGATGGCGTTGATGTTAGAAGTTGAGGGTGAGGAGGTTAAATCGGAAGAGAATTGGAGAAGATACTGAGCTGCGGTTGAGATGCCACTTGAGGAACTCTCAGGGTGTTGGTGCACACCATGAGGTCAATAGATTTTCCCACATATCTGGAGTTCATGCCCGTCTTTTTTTACTGGGGGACCCAAGGACCACGGCCACTAAAGGATCAACCCTGGTGATTGCATTGTATTTCATCTCAGTTAACATTTGTTGATCACTTAGTATATGCCCAGTGTAGGCGCCGAACACTCAAAAACGGATGAGACATGGTCCCTGCAGTCACAGAGCTGGGCGGATGGACATACAAGCAAATTACTTAAAGGATGCCGGATGTCATTCCTTATGAATTGTCCAATGTTCATACTCAGGTGTTAAAAGCCAGTAGTGTTGGCCAGGTGCGGTGGCTCACGCCTGTAATCCTAGCACTCTGGGAGGCCGAGGCGGGCGGATTGCTCGAGGTCAGAAGTTAGAAACCAGCCTGAGCAAGAGTGAGACCCCGTCTCTACTATAAATAGAAAGAAATTAATTAGCCAACTAATACATATATAGAAAAAATTAGCCGGGCATGGTGGCGCATGCCCGTAGTCCCAGCTACTTGGGAGGCTGAGGAAGGAGGATTGCTTGAGCCCAGGAGTTTGAGGTTGCTGTGAGCTAGGCTGACGCCACGGCACTCACTCTAGCCTGGGCAACAAAGTGAGACTCTGTCTTAAAAAAAAAAAAAAAAAGCCAGTAGTGTTTAGGTAGATTTTCTTTGGTCTGTGTATATTGAAATTAAAAAAAAGAAAAGACTGTTGCCAATAAATTAGGAGAATTCACATAAAAGAAAAGATTTTCTGCCTTTCTAGAAAAACTAGACGATCCGACGACCCTGGCTCTACCTTCCCACACAGTGACGACAGACCAGAGCTGAGTCACAGTCATGCCCTTAGATAAGGCAGGAGTTCACCTTGCTCCCCCCTACTCCCTACTGCCTCCGACAAGGGGGCCGAGTGTCAGGTGCTTACACTGTTCTCTGGCTCCATGTTGCTCACGTGCGTTATCTCCCAGCCTTGATAGCATTTGAGTTTATGACCACCGTTATAACTTTACTTTTCGCAAAAAGCAATATACACATGAGTCAAATGAGTAGCATTTTTATTATTTACCAATATTTAAGGCAAGTCTCAGTTTATGCCCGTTGTCCTGAATAGCCCCCCATCCAGAGTGTCCCGGTAATGCATAACCAAAGTAGGCCTTTCATCTCACACCGAGGGCCCCGGGCTCAAAGACAAGGGAGCAACCTTTCCATCTCTCCTCCTCTGGCCTCGAGAGGAAGGCTGGGCCATTTTGGTATGACTTTTTTTTTTTTTTTCATTTTGGTATGATTTATCACAGTTTTCCTGAAAACATTTCTTTGGACTGCAGATATTTGCCGTCTCTCAAGCTGGCCGGGTGCCTCCTTCTCGCGAGGTCTGGGCTGGGGGTTGGCAGTGAGCGTCTGCAGCCGTAGTAAGCACTCTGGCAGCTCCACGGCTTCCACCTGCAATCCGGGCGATTGTCTCTGCTCTATTGGGATTAGACTGGACGTGGAAAAAGCCACTGTGGCAGGTGTTGGGAGGAACACAGAAATGCCGAGAAGAAACAGAGGGAGGAGTGCCACAGATGCTCGGGCAATGCTGTGGGCATCTAGGTTAGGGAGAATCTGCTTTTAGGCCTCGAGGTACAGACAGAGCTGCCCTTTTATCTTCATTCTTCCACTTACTGGCTGTGAGACTTTGGGCTAGGGACTTAGGCTCTCTCTTCTGCTTCAGTTGCCTCTTCTGCAAAAGAAAGATCCTAAATGGTTTATAGAGTTGTCGTACAGATTAAATGTGGGGAAGATCTTAACACAGCCCCTGGCATGTTGCAGTTTTTCAATCAACAAATGGCAATTATTATTGTTATAGTTATTATTTTTTAATTCTTAAACTTTTTTAGAGATAGGATCTTGCTATGTTGTCCGGGGATAGTCTTGAACTCCTAGGCTCAACTGATTCTCCAGCCTCAGCCGCCTCAGTAGCTGGGATTACAGGCGTGTGCCACCACATCTGGTTTGAATGACGACAAATTTTTTGTATGTCTCATGCAATATTTGGGGCACACTTTTTATACTAAAAAATTTTGTTATTCATCTGAAATTCAAATTGAACCAGATGTCCTATGATTTTATTTGCTAGATCTGGCAACCCTAACCAGTATGGCAACTATTTGCTAGTAACCAGTATGGCAACAATTTGCTAGATCTGGCAACCCTAACCAGTTCCCAAACTTCCTTCCTTCCTTCCTTCATACAGGCAACGGACATTCATTGAGCACCTATTATACATCAGGCACTGCTCCCAGGGCCTGCAAAAAGTAAATCAAACAAGGACTGCTGACTCTGAGGAGGTCATATTCTAGCAGGAAGAGACAGAAAATAAATAACAAATATATTAAATAATTAAACTACATAGCATGTGAGATGATTAAAAGAGCTATGGGACAAAAAGTCCAGTAGGTTAAGGGTTTAGGGAGTGCTGGGAGTTGGTGATGCACGCAGCAATAGTAATTAGGGTGTTCCCTGCAGGTCACTTAAAAGATGAGATTTGAGCAAAGCCTGGAAGAAGGCGAGGGAGGGGGAGCTTTCTGGGCAGAGGGTACAGTTCGAGTGAAGGTGCAGAGCCAGGGAGGATGCCTGGCCTGTACCAGGAAGAGCAGGGAGGCTGAGTCCACGGCCGTCCCACTGGGGCACAACCACAGAGTTCCAGGCTCTGCAGCCTTTTTTCAGGAGCCGCTGCCCTTGCGGCCACTTTAAAGCTTCCAACTTCTGCCAGGCAGCCGACCTTCCCGAGCTCTTCTCTGGCCGGGAGGAACTCTCCGCATCTTGGTTTTAGATGACTTCTTAAAATTTCTCTAATGCCAACCCAAACATTTTTTTATGCATCTACACCATACTACATTGAGGAAATGTCCATACCACATGAACTGTTAACCATTCTATCAACATTCTACTATTCTAACAATAATTCATATCTATTCAATTTAATACAAATAGAGTATATATGGACATCTACTGTGCCAAAGCATTGTAGCTCCTATTAACATGAGAATTAAATAAAGTATGCCAGATTGTTAGCCATCACTTAAATATTGCAAATCCCTACTAGAGACATCTGAATGGTCTGTAGAACTTGGCTTATAGATAAGTGTAGTTTGGGCAATGTGTCTTTTATAACCAGCTGTCATTTGGGAAGAGATCTTTCCTTGTCTAGTACAGTAAATCGCATATTTGAATAATTTTCAAAGCTTTCTTGTATACATTACTTTTATTTAACCCCATCATAAAAGCCATGGAAATCGGGATGATCGCCTATTTTTAAATAAGAATAAGAACTAAAGTCATAAAAGTTAAATAAGTGAAGAAAAGTGGGTTCAGTCATGGAAACGTGACCCCCAGGTAGTGGTAGGTCTGTGGTAGCTAACACCATGAACTTTTTCTCCAAGATGAACTCTCCACCTTACCTTACATTCAGAGAATGTTTTGTCTTCACATAAGTCCAAACCATGAACAATGCCTTCGATGACCATATATATCATGCACACACTAAGGTATTATACACATGTATCAAGAGGGGAACCAGTCTATAACATAAAGGCATGGGAAAATGACTTCAACCTATCCAAACCACTCCCTGCCATCTAATTTGATAAAACATGACACACCCTGACACACACACACACAACACACACACAATACCTCAAACATTTACCTTGCTTCTTTCAATAGCACAGGCTTCACTCTTACTTTTTACACATTGCCATGGTGCCATCAGTGTTCAAATCCTACTTTGGGGGTTTGAGCTGCTTTGAATAGAGGAGAAAAGTCTACAGGGCGCTCCTGGTCCTACTCCTTGGAGGTCCACAGTACAACCAGTCTTTCCAAAAATAATGTGTGCTCAAGCACTTGCATGTACATATTCTTTATTTCTGCTTCTAGAAGTATCAGACTCCCAGGAGGAACAAAAAAAAGAAAAAACGAATATATCTGTAGCTCCAAAGAGTGCAAGAACAAACACAAATTCATTATTTCTTGGACATACCCCCTCATTTTTCTCAACCAGGGGACTCTACTTAGATTTTGTGTTCTCTTGGCCTATCGTTCCCTTCCCTGTCCTCACATCCCAGCATAATCAGCCTCCAAGGTCCAGATGAGAGGCCTAAGACTCGAAAATACAACAGTGAAATTGACTATTTGGAGCTGAGGTCTAAATGAGGATTTATTTATTACAGGGGCTAGAAAATAGTAAATATTTGTAGCTGTAAAGGCCTCTGATGTAGCACAAAATCAAGCCACAGGCAGTGTGTACAAATGGTATTGGTTGTGTTCCAATAAAACTTTAGCAACAAAAACTGGCAGCTGGCTGGATTTGGTTCATGGACCATAGTTTTACGTGACCCTGATCTATTAAGCTAAGTTGGTTTGGAGACCACACAGGCCCTATAAGTCTTCCGTGAACTCTGGGCATGGACCCAACTTCTGGCTGTCTGTAGTGACATTGTCAGGGTTTGCCCAGAGCTCCTAGAATATTTTTACCTCTTTTCTCTGTACCCCTGCTTCAAAATGCTTTGCCACCAAAATTGTGCACCTGTGGCCTTTTCTGGAAGACTTTCTCGGGCCTCTGCAGTCCTTTTGTCTGTAGGGGCATAGAGCCCACAAGTGCCAGGGAGTTTATGCCCAGCAACCCCCAACCCCCAGGGCAAGAGAATGACTGTCCAGCCCATCCCCCTACCACCCCACCTGCCCCTGGCCTGAGCACCTCTGAGGCTCATGCTCACTCCAGATTGAGGGATCTGGCTGCAGGCGCCCTCCCCAGAAGGTGGCCTGAAATCACTCCCTCATTCGTCCTGCCTCTTTCTCCCTTTATCAGGTTTTCCCAAAGTCCTTCCTTAATTAATCACTTCCTTAATTAATTAATTACTTCCTTAATTAAGTCCTTTCCCAAATCCTCATCTCTGGGTAGACTGACCCTCCACACACATCTCAAATTGCTCTGCACATGTTTTGCCTCCAGTAAGTGTTTGCAGCCC